CCTGAAAGTCAGTGTTACTGGATATAAAATCTTTGGCTCACATTATTTTTTTCCTTGACTTACTTGATTATATTATTTTCCTTCCTTTCGGCAAAAAGTGTTTTGGTCAAAAATATTGATGGTAATTTAATTTTATTTCTCTCAATCATTTTATGTTGCTTACATGTTGAAATGATACTATCTTAGACATACCAAGTAAAGTAAAATTTATTTTTAAAGTAATCTCAGGGGCGCCTAGGTGGCTTAGCCAGTTAAGCTCTGAGTCTTAATTTTAGCTCAGGTTGTGATCTCACAGTTTGTAGGTTCAAGCCCTGCATCAGGCTCAGCGCTCGCAGTACATAGACTGCTTGGGATTCTCTCTCTCTCCCTCTCTCTCTGCCCCTCCCCTGTTCATGTTCTCTCTCAGAATAAATAAACTTTTAAAATAATAATAAATAAACATTAAAAAATAAAAATAATTTCAACTCTTCTGTTTATTTATTTATTTTTTTTATTTCTAGGAGAGAGAGAGAGAGAGAGACAGCGCGAGCAGGGGAGGGTCAGAGAGAGAGGGAGACACAGACTCTGAGATAGGCTCCAGGCTCTGAGCTGGCAGTCAGCACAGAGCCCGACGCGGGGCTCGAACCCACCAACCGCGAGATCATGACCTAAGCGAAAGTTGGACGCTTAACCGACTGAGCCACCCAGGCGCCCCTCAACTCTTCTGTTTAATGTGGCTACCAGCAGGGTGCCTGGGTGGCTCAGTCAGTTGAGTGACCGACTTCAGCTCAGGTCATGATCTCACAGTTGGTGGGTTCAAGCCCCCACATCAGGCTCTGTGCTTACAGCTTGCTCAGAGCCTGGAGCCTGCTTTGGAATCTGTGTCTCCTTCACTCTCTGCCCCTCCCCCACTCACAGACTGTCTCTCACTCTGTCTCTCAAATATAAATAAATGTAAAAAAAAAAATTTAATGTGGCTACTAGCAAATTTAAAATTGCATATGTGATATAGAAAACCCTAAAAACTCCACCGAAACCTACTCAAATTGAGAAACGAATTCGGTAAGGTGGTAAGATACAAAATCAATGTACAGAAATCCATTGCATTTCTATACACAAATAATAAAGCAGCAAAAAGAGAAATTAAGAAAATAATCCCATTTATAACTGCACCAAAAATAATAAAAATACCTGTGAATAAACTTAACAAAGGAGGTGAAAGACCTGTACACTGATAAAAGAAACTGAAGATTACACTAGCTCATGAACTGGAAGAACAAATATTGTTGAAATGTTCATAGTACCTAGAGCAATCTACAGATTTAATGCAGTCCCTATCAAAACACGAACAGCGCTTTTCACAGAACTAGAACAAACAATCCTAAAACTTCTGTGAAATCACAATAAAACTCCAAATAGCCAAAGCAATCTTGAAAAGGAAAACCAAGCTAGAAGTATCACAGTTTCACATTTCAAGTTATACTACAAAGCTGTAATGATCAAAATAGTATGGTACTGACACAAAAACAGATACACAGATCAACAGAACAGAAAGCCCAGGAATAAACCCACAATTATATGGTCAATTAATCTTCGACAAAAGAGGCAAGAACACACAGTGGGGAACAGACAGTCTCACAGCACCTGGGTGGCTCAGTCTGTTAAGCATCCCACTTCAGCTTCAGTATGATCTCATGGTTTGTGACTTTGAGACTTGCCTCACTCTCTCTCAAAAATAAATAAACGTTAAAAAAAAGTCCCTTCAACAAATAATGTTAGGAAAATTGGACAGTCATGTACAAAAAAATTAATACACCACTTTCTTACACCATACATACACCAAAATAAACTCAAAATGGATTAAAGTCCTAAATGTGAGTGCTCGCTTCGGCAGCACATATACTAAAGTCCTAAATGTGAGACCTGAAACCATAAAAACGCTAGAAGAGAGCACAAGCAGGAATTTATCTTTCTTACACCACTTTCTTACACCATACATACACCAAAATAAACTCAAAATGGATTAAAGTCCTAAATGTGAGACCTGAAACCATAAAAACGCTAGAAGAGAGCACAAGCAGGAATTTATCTGTCATCAGCCATAACAACATTTACATATGTCTTGTGAGGCAAGGGAAACAAAAGTAAAAATAAACTGTTGGGATTCCAACAAAATAAAATACTTCTGCACAGCAAAGAAAACAGTCAACAAAACTAAAAGAAAACACACTGAATGGGGAAAAGATATTTGCAAGTGATATATCCAATAAAGGGTTAGTATCCAAAATACATAAAGAACTTACACAACTCAACACCAAAAGCCCAAATAACCCAATTAAGAAATGGGCAGGAGGCACGAACAGGCATTTCTCCAAAGAAGACATCCAGATGGCCAAAAGACACATAAAAAGATGTTCAACATCACTCATCATCAGGAAAATGCAAATCAAAACCACAGTGAGGTATCACCTCACACCAGTCAGAACGGCTAAAATAAAAAACATGAGAAACAACAAACGTTGGCAAGGATACAGGGAAAAAGGAACCCTTGAGCCCTGTTGGTGGGAATGCAAACTGGTGCAGCCACTGCAGAAAACAGTATGAAGATTCCTCAAAAAATTAAAAATAGAACTACCCTATAATCCAGTAACCATACAACTGGGTATTTACCCAAAGAATATGAAAACACTGGGGCACCCAGGTGGCTCAGTTGGTTAAGCATCTGACTTGGGCTCAGGTCATGCTCTCTCAGTTTATAAGTTTGAGTCCCGCATCGAACTATCAGTGAAGAGCCTGCTTCAGATCTTCTGTTTCCCTCTCTCTCCGCCCCTCCCCCCACTCTCTCACTCTCAAAAGATAAACATTAAAAAAAAAAAAGAATAGGAGAAAAGTAATGGGAAAGGATATGTGCACCCCTGTTTACTGAAGCACTACTTACAAAAGCCAAATTAAAGAAACAGCCCACTGTCCATCAGCAGACGAGTGGATAGAGAACACATGGTATAAATATACGACAGAATACTACTATACCAGAAAAAAGAATAGAATCTTACCATTTGAATTTTTTAAAATATTTTATTTATTTCTGAGAGAGAGAGAGAGACAGCATGAGCAGGGGAGGGTCAGAGAGAGAGGGAAAAACAGAATCTGAAACAGGCTCCAGGTTCCGAGCCGGCAGTCAGCACAGAGCCCGACGTGGGGCTCGAACCCACAAACCGTGAGATCATGACCTGAGCCAAAGTCAGACGCTCAATCAACTGAGCCACCCAGGCGCCCCGAATCTTACCATCTGAAATAATATGTATGGATCTAAAGAGTATAATGCTAAACGAAATAAGTCAGGCAGAGATTTCATTCATATGTGCGATTTAAGAAACAAAACAAATGAACAAAGGGGGGAAAAGTCAAAGCAAAAAACAGACTCAACTACAGAGAACAAACGGTGGGGGGCGGGGTGAAACAGGGGAAGAAGGTGGAGAGGACACTCACCATGATGAGTACCGAGTAATACATGGAACCGATAGGTCACTATGTTGTACACTCTTTTTGTCTCTCTCAAAATAAATAAACATTAAAAAAAGAAAGAAAATCAGGAGCTAATAAACTGTTTCACTGGGTTATTCTGAAGACTGAATTCTTTCAGTCAGCATGTATTCACTGACTGCCTACTATGAGCTTAGGCACTCTTCTGGGCACTGTGGAAAGAGCAATGGGCAAGTCAGTTAAAAGTTCCTGTCCTTAAAGAGTTTCTATTCCAGTGGAGGAGACAGAGCACAAAAACTATTATTATGTAGTGTGTGGCATTGGGTAGTAACGAGAACCATGAAGAAGCTGGAGCAGTGTAAGGGGAGAGAGTCGTGGAGAGGTGCCACTTGAGTCCAAGGACAGAGACAGAGACAGGCAGAGAAGAGCCAGAAGGAGGGAAGGAAAAGAAGCACAGGGCCCTGCAGCAGGGAGATGCGGGGTGAGTCTGGGTTAGAAAGAAGGGGCCAAGGTCTAGCTGGGGAGCAGAGACGGCGGCGGGAGAGGAGGCGTGGCCAGATCACAGGGGGCACTGGAGGCCTCGGAGGCACACACGGTCTCATTCTCCTCCGAGGCAGCTGCTAGAGAGTTTTACACAGGTTTTTATATGATCCCTTGGCTGCACTGAAGGTGGTGGCGCACGTGCCAGGCTCAGCAAGGCACAACATAGGCGTGGAGGCCAACCATGGCAGAATGACGAGACGCAGCCCGGTCAGCTCCCGCGCCACCCTGGGGGCCACGAAACCTGGTCCAGCAAAGGGGACACAGAGGAGTGGGCGTGGCGGGGGACCCTTCCGAGGCTGCCCTGGGACGCTGCCTGCAATTAGGCTTGAGGCCACCCCAGGGGCAATATACTCGGCCATCCTCAGTGCAAAAGGCAGAAACCAAGTCCTGGCAAAACGAGGAGCCAACCCTGCCCCTCAGTCAGAGCAGCTAAACACACTTGTTGAAGAAAAAACAATTCTTAAAAAAATTAGTATTACAAAATACTATTTTCTATCACTGTAGAAAACAATCACTGTAAAGGTACAACTGAACAAAAAGAAGAAAAACTAAATTCCAATTAACTATTATCCTACAACCAGAAACGACAGTAAATAATGTTTGGCTATTTATATCCAGATATTCATGACTGGTAAACATCAGAGCTAGACCTCTTCCAATGCAAATGAAAATTGTGTGTGTGTGTGTGTGTGTGTGTGTGTGTGTGTGTGTGTGCTGTGCATGCTTTTTAACACTGGCAGCCTACTCTATTCATTGTGCTGCAACTTGTTCCTTTCACTTAATATCCAAGGTATGTATGACTCCCACGACTTCCGAGGTGGTTAATTTCTGGACTGACGGCATCCTGTTTAATGCTGCTTGGTATTTCATAAGGAATATTCTATCCCACGGTCCCTGTCATGGGGCATATGGCTTGTTTCCAACCAGAGCAACTGTTCGCTGCCCCCATCCCACTGTTTTGGTGCCCAGACCCCCGCGTCTGTTGTGTTACTTACAGCAAACTCCTCGGGACTCACTTTCAAGACATCAAACACAACGGCATCGTAGCTCTTGCTGGCAGAGTCGCAGCTCTGGCCCTCCAGAGAGTCTGAGCTGCTGCTGCCCTGTGGAGGACAGGGAGAGAGGGCGCCACCTGAGCAGTCGGGCTGGCTCCGGCGTCACTCACCCCCACACCCTGAACAGAGGGTGCGAGGGTGCCACAACTGTGTAGCAGCGAAAGCTCCTACTGCTCACTGCTCCACCCTGTTCCAGGCCCCACGTTAGGTACTTCATACAAATACTTGTGTTTCGCTGTCTTAAGAACCTCTGAGCACACACTATTTTTATTCCCATTTTCAGATTAGGAAGCAGAGGCCGTGCCACTCCCACAGGGTACCGCCGCTCGGAGACCGAAGCGCCAGGACATGAATGCAGCTTTACGCCTAGGTGATGCCAGATGCATGCCCTGGTTCATGACACTGACCGCTTCCGGCCCGCTGTGTAGCCGCTGGGGTAAAAAGATTCAGCCCACTCTTCCTTCAGAGAGGGCTTCACATCTCAGGAGGCCTGAGGCAATCGTCTGTCTGTCTTCTTACAGCTTTCAGACATCACCTGGGTTCACCTTTGTTTTTTTCTTGAAGTCACTGCAGGAAATTCTTACACAAAATGTTAAACTGGCCCTCAAGGCTTATTTCACATAGGGGCCACTTGGAATTCAAAGCCTGTTAGCTGATGAGGTGAGAGGTAACCAGCTGGCTTTGGAGAAGGGCCCAAAAGTTATATTTGGTAGAGCCCCTCGTTAAGGAGAACATGGTGAGTCCTGCCATGTAGAGAAAGGGTCTCCCATAAAAGAGCAAGTTAAAACTCCCCAAACGTGGCCAGTTTCATGAAACCCAACACTGCGGGGATCCCAGAATGTTGAACATACCTTCTCTTTGATTCTATTTAATTTCATCAAATTCTACTTCGGGGAACAAGTCAAGCTTACCACCCAAAAACTGTGCCCCATTCGTAAATGGTTTTATTCGTCTCAACCCATGAAGAGGGACTTTGTGGTTTCCATTAACCTCAGTATCTTGGACCAGGATTCAGAGAACATGCTTCTATTAATTCTTCTTTATTTCACTCTTTCCAAAATGGCTATATCTGGAAAAACTTTGCAATCTTACTGGAAACTACAGTGTTTTTAGGCCAGTGAGGGAAACCAACAGTCAACAACTGAAAATGTGAGGTTAAAAGGAGGAGCAGAAACTTAAACCTGTAGATTTCAATAGGCCTGTGTCATTTAAAGGTTTTACAAGTGAGGCTACATACCCAGAAGGCTAAGGTGACCTCAAGAAGTAGCACGTCACGGGGGGAAGAGCTCTCAAGTCAGGCCTGAGTGGGGTGCCAGCCCGCACTAGCTGCCGCCTGACCTCACACAACTTACTTCACTTCCCCGTCTCTGTACAAAAGCACGGCTAGACCTACTCCCCAGGACTGGGGGCCGGGTTGTATAAAATGAAGCTTCCAAAGCAGCTGGCCGACCCCCCCTCCCGGGGAGACGATGATTCAAGGGACCTGGATGGGCCAGGCATGGCTATTTTAAAAGTGCCATGAATGGGGCAGGGCGCCTAGGTGGCTCAGTCAGTTAAGCGTCTGACTTTGACTTGGGTCATGATCTCACGGTTCGTGGGTTCGAGCCTCGTGTCAGGCTCTGTGCTGACAGCTCAGAGCCTGGAGCCTGCTTTGGATTCTGTGCCTCCCCCTCTCTCTGTTCCTCCCCTACTCGCACTGTCTCTTTCTTTCTCTCTCTCAAAAATATGAACGAATGGTGGGACCTTCTCCCACGAGAAGAATCTGTGCTAAACCTGTGAAAAGTAACAAACACTAATCCCGAGTACCTCTGGAAGCGGCAGTCTGTCCTGCCCCTCAGTCTTATGCACAGACCCTGAGCAGGTGATTACCGGTAAGTCACTCTGCACTTCCACAACCACCTTCCAGAAAGCAAGCAAAGTCAAGTGACAGGGTGATTTTCCTCAGTGTGGTGTTGTCACGGTTGAGAGCATTGGGCTGAGTCACGGAGGCCCGGCTCTGAATCCCCACCCACTGCTGACCAGCTGTCTGATGTGAGCCAGTGTATTCCCACCTTCCTGCTTCAGTTTCCCCATCTGTAAACTGGGGGTGAAGCACACACACACCATCAGGTTAGTGTGAGGATCAGTGTGATAATGCCTGTGGAGCAGGCAAGGCAAGGGCCTGGTGTGTGACAGGCACTGGATTATGGGGCACGTGTGTGGGGGGCCATTCAGTCACCAAAACTGAGTACTTTGGTTACATTTGTGTCCTTTCACTCAGTAACTATGGAGTACTTGCCATGTTCTAGGTACACATATACACACACGTGTACATACAGATGTACGTACACATAGTATGTACGCACACGTGTATACATAGGTGTATAGATACGCATATACTCAGAGAGATCAGAAAAGAAGTTCTACTCGAGATGGGGCATAAATTGTAAATGAAAACAGAAATCTGGGGCGCCTGGGTGGCTTAGTCGGTTGAGCGTCCGACTTTCGCTTGGGTCATGATCTCGCAGTTCGTGGGTTCGAGCCCCGCGTCGGGCTCTGTGCTGACTGCCAGCTCAGAGCCTGGAGCCTGTTTCAGTCTGTGACTCCCTCTCTCTCTGACCCTCCCCTGCTCACGCTCTCTCTCTCTCTCTCCTAGAAATAAAATAAAACATAAAAAAAAAAAAAAAAAAAAGAAAACAGAAATCTGATTCCTCCAGTTACCGAACAGTCCACTCCTGGGATTTCATGTGCAGTAACCTCCCCACTGCATCTGCCACAGACACACACACTCACACCAGGGGCCTTATTTAGTCCAGCGCTGCTCCAAATACATCAGTGCTGGTGCTGACGATAATGCACGGACTTTACTTAAACCTATGTTGGCACCATCAGGGAATCTTAGAAGGTGCTCGCAAGTCTGTTTTCAGAGGCAGAGATCAAAATAAGGACTTTCTTAAAGGTTTCTGAGATGTGAATTGGTTCCTGCGAATTTCTAGCTGATCACACAGGATCGTTTCAAAAGCCCAGCCAACCGTGAGGGGCTTGCAAGCGCACAGCACTGACTGTTCCCTTGCCAGCTTGTCACAGGAGCCATGCATCACACGTCCGGCAAGGTGACGTCCCCGGGCCGGACCCCCACTCCTGCTAGCATGCCTCTGTCCCATCACTGCATGGGGAAAACAAGTTCCCAAAGCCCCAGGGCAGGGGCCGCAGCCCAGGCCACTCTCAGACCACCGGTCTTTCCAGCCATTTCCTACCAAGCAAGGTAAGAACGAACACCAGGCCAGCCGGAAGCACTTCTGTCTGACTTCACTCTGGAATGTGTGACTTATTTAACATCAGCAGCCGCTTTTCTAGGGAAAGACCTGATCCCATCTTGCCACCAAAATGGAATGTGGCACTTGCTATGACCAGACTGGGCAGGTGATGGTTTTTCCTTGAAGAAAACACACGGATCCACAGGGCTGACTGCCTCCCACATCTCACACCCGGCAGGGCAGGGGCCACGGGAGCGCTGAGAATGGTGGTATTCGTGGAGCCTTGCTGCTTTGCTGTCCACGACTTACCGGGGGCCTGCCCCTCAACTGCCCCAATTCTCACAGCCCCTGTACCTGTGGAGTGGCGGAGGTGACCAACACGCTAGCCATCAGGCCATTCCTCTTGTACATAGTCTCCGGGCCGCAGGGAGCTTCAGGGCAGCCTCTGTCGGTGACATAACCTGTCTGGAGAAGTCCTGCAAGGCAAAGGGGCTCATAAAAACCAGCTTCACACCCAACTTCACCCCACCCTGGAGGCGGAGTTGTGCTAGACTTGAGCGGAAGACCCTAGGGGAGACCTGTATAAACAAAAGTTTTAAGCCAGCGGCCTTTAGGCTAAATATGACCCACATATGTAGTTTCTTGAGCCTGTATAGGTTTTAATATTCTTAAAATTCATCAACAATATTTAAATAGAAGGCTTCACATGGAATTCTGGATTTCTAGCCTTTCTTGAAAATGAAAATACCTGGCAGTACTGGCCTCACGTTCCTGCATGATGACCATCAGCTGAGCTGAGCAACAGCGGCCCCTTGCATTGGGGCAAGTGCCTTCCAGACCATACTTGCCCTGTGCCACCATCGGGGACATGCCTCGCCCTCTCAGGCACTAGAGTTTGTGACCTTTGTTTTAAATGAAAGCAGGAAGAGACGACAAACTGTCTTTCCCCACGCATGAGACCGTTTCATCAATAACAATGTGATCATAGCTAATACCCGTCTACTGCCCACCAAGTGTCGTTTACTTTGCATACGTTAACTCAACACACCCTCACAACCGCCTCACATAGGTCCTATTATTCCCATATTAGGTGTGAGGAGTTTGAGGCACAGAGAGGTTAAGTAACTCATGCGTAACCCTGCCATCCCATCGTCATTCAAGACCCTGCTCAAATGTCATGTCCTCTGGTTATGGAGCCGGGACCCCTCAGACCAGAACCAGGTGCTCCCGTGCCGATGCGTACATGCCTCTAGTAGAGCATTTATCACATCACTGGACAACACAGAGCTGCAGCCACCACCTGCTTTTTAGCAGAAAAGTGACCAGGAGAGTAGGGAGGGTGCAAGAGGGTAAGGAAAGGAACAGGTCAGGGTACAGTCGGCAACCACCTGCATTTGTTCAGGCCAGAGATGAAGGTCCCCTGGGCTAAGTAAGGTTGCTGCGGTGGAGTCAGCGAGAAGGAGACAGACTGGGAGACAACAGGGACAGAAGATCAACAGAAACCGCTGGGGAAGGGCGATCGGGGAGGACGAGCTGAGGGTGAATGGTGTCTGGCTTGAGGTGCCAGAAGGACGGCATGTCCCCCATCAAGGGCAGGAACGGGTGGTGCAGCAGATCTGCAAAGATGATGATGAATTTGACCTGGGATACACGTCGAACCTGCGGTGCCCGTGAAAAATCCACCCTGGAGAGCAAGGCGCCTCCTGAAGCTCACTGGGCAAGATGGTCTGGAGGTGAATGGAAAAGATCTCGACCAGGCCTGTGACCCTGCTGGGGCCTCAGCCACAGGGCTCATCACAGAGCACGTGCGTCAGCACAGAACAGAGTCGAGCGCCCCAGAAGGTCAGAGTGCTGCTGGCTCTGTCCATCCCCATCTCCAAAGCCACGATGGCCACTCCCTCACAACCGCTCCGTCATCTTCCTCGTCGGCCATCTCCTCTTCAGCAACAGCCTGTGAGCTGGCTGCCTTCCCGAGAAGAAAGGCTGTCTGGGCAATGCACTATGGCAGAATTCACGGCTAAAGGGGACTTGCAATTTAGTTTCCAATCAGTCTACAAAATACACCAAAGTAGAGATAAAGCAACTATGGCCAAATGCTAACACCTGACATCCAGTGACAGATGTTCACTGCACCAGTCTCTCGATTTTCTGAATGCTTGATAACTTTTATACCAAAAAAGAAGAGGGAAAAGCACAGGTTGGCTAAGTTTTTCCTCAGAGGAAAAAATGAGCAGCAGAGGCCAAACTCCTCTTTCATGAGCAGAGAAAGGGGTTGGGCTGAGAACTCTCATTTGTCCATCCCTTCTGTCCTCGGAGGAGCCCTGTGTGCGGTCACCCATGACCCCAAGCTGTGGCTGGGATAGGTTTGGGAGGCAGCTGCGCGAGAGACGCCAAGACACCTTTAGCAAAAGAAGGTATATGGATGGCAAAGGAGGGGACTGTGAAGCAAAATCACAGTGAGACAGCACTTCGCACCCACTGGGACAGCTGTGATGAAAAAAACCATACCAAGTGCTGGCAAAGATGCGGAGAAATGGAGCCCTTATATGCTGTAGGGAGGCAAAAGGTACAACTCCTTTGGAAAACAGCTTGGTAGTTTCTTTAAAAGTTGAACATACACTTATCAAATGACCAGCAATTCTACTCCTAGGTAGCTACCTTTTAAACAAAATGAAAGCATATGTCCGCACAAAGACATGTATATGAATTATTCATCAGAACTGGAAGTTGGAAACAATCTAAACGCTCCTCAAGTGGCAAGTGGATAAACAATGTGATCTATCCATACAGTGGACGACTCCTCAGCAATAAAGAAACAAAATACCAACATAAACTGTAACATGAATAACCTCAAAGACATGCTAAGTGAAAGAGCTCAGACCCAAAAGACTGTACTTTAGGATGCCATTTTTATGAAATGCCCAAAAAAGGCAAATTCATAGAGACAGGAGCACATCAGTGGTGGCTGGGGTGGAGGCAGGACTGACTGCAGATGGGCACAGGGATCTTTTGGAGGTGACGGAAATGTTCTAAAACTGGATCATCATGCCCGTTACACAGCTCCGTAAGTTAACTCAGAGTCACAGAGCCACACGCCTGGAGTGGGTGAATTTTACGGCATGTAAATTAGACTACAATGAAAGCAGCAGCCACCAGCTTGTTTCGTGATGGTGACCTGAACTCACATGTTTAACTGCTCCCCTCTACATCCTTTTGAAATAATCAAAGAAATACTAAAATAGCAAAAACAAACTACGTTACCACATGACAAGAGAGAAGAGTTATTTTTTTAAGCTTATTTATTTGTTTTGAGAGAGTGAGAGAGCACGCATATGCAAGCAGGGGTGGGGCAAAGAGAGAGGGAGAAAGAGAATTTCAAGCTTACAGAGCAGAGCCCGGCATGGGGTTTGAACTCACAAACTATGGGGAGATCATGACCTGAGCCGAGATCAAGACTCAAACAACTTAACCGACTAAGACACCCAGGCGCCCTGAGAGAAGGGTTAGTAATAAGCAAAACAATTTTGAGGAATTTCCGGTACAGAAGAGATGGGACTGAGAAGGGGAACCAGCCTCCAGAGCAAAGGGAGCCCCTCCCAGCAGTCAGGCAGATGGGACCTTCCCACAGACACCCCATGAGAACCTAGAGACTTCAAAGTAGAGAATCCAGAAATTGAGGCTAAAAGTAAGGCTCAAGCAGCAGCACGAGACTGGTTCAAGCCGCAGGGCCGTCTCAGACCAGACATACCAGCTCATATGCGCTGGGAGTCGGGGCCAACATAGCCAGGCTCTCTCTGTGTCAGAAGCAACTGGCATGTTGGACAGACTCTGTTCAGATCAGCTCAGGCCGGACAGAAGTGACTCAACCCAAGCCTGACAGAGTCACCGTGGGAAGAGGGCATGGGAGACAACCAGCCTGATGCTCCCTGTGGATCCAACCTGCTCCAGTTCGGGGCTGATGTGGGCTTCGATCCTTTCACGGTATGCCTGGCACTCTGTGGGTCTACCCCAAGGGGGTCCCAACATGGGGCCCAAACCAGAGGCCTCGGCTCTCCCCACTTAACCTGACACCAGAAACTCTCAAGTCACACAGCCCTTCAATACAGGGATCACATTTCGTTCTCACACCCTCGTCCACGACTGGTCATTTGCTCACCCCCTGTGTCCCATCTGCAGGATGCCACTACCTCTGCCCATTTCTCCAGCAACATTGGGGGCGCACTCGGGTGCCCCTGTCCAACACTAACAGCGTGTACACAGGGAGCAGCCACTGAGCAAAGCTGGGTTAAGCGCTATGTTTTTAGCTCATTTCGTCTTCACGAAAACCCCATGCAGGGGAGGCTCTTCTGGGAAACTGAGGCACCAAGAGGTAATATAACTGACTGCTAGTTGAGCAGTGGGACTCGGGAGTTCAAACCCTGGTCCGTCGATACCAGCGCCTGGGCCTTGTCCAAGAGCCCATGAGGAACTTGTGAAAAAAATACATGTAAAACACTCGGCCAGGGGCCAGCCGCAGACCAGGCACTCAATCCAGGTTACTAGTCACTGTGAGTGTTAATCTAATCCTACAGTTCTATTCATTGACGCCTATTCTTTTACAAACAAAAAATTAGCTTAAGAAAGCACAGCATCATGCTCTGTGCGACCACAGGCCTCCACAGCGAGAAACAGTTCCCAGCTGTGGGTGCCAGACCTCCAGGGAGCGGAGGCTGAGTCCATGGGTCTGCATGCAGCTCCTCCCCAAGGAGGCCAGACCTGCCCTCCCCCACCCCTGCCCATCCCACCCCCCCAGCCCTCCTAGAGACAAAGCACGTGAGCCACTGCGTGTTAGCCCTGCACTGTGCACAGGCAGCCTGGGCGGGAAAGAAAGACAGAGCACTTGTTTCAGATCTGACTCCTGCAAGTCTCGCCATGGACAAAAATAGCCTAACTCATGGGCACCATGTCTCAGACAAGTGATATTTCACATGCTAAGAAAAAACAGGACCAAGCAGAACAGAACATCTTTCCAGGGCCCAGAGACACCCCCCATCCATCCACCTTCAGTCCCTGAGGCCTGGCCAGGGACCAGACTCCCATCAAGGGCATCAGCCCGGCCTAGGCCCCTCCTTGAGAACAGCTTCTCTACCCTTCAAGAAGGCCCCTGATGATGGCGACCATAGCTCCCAGGCCAGACTGAATGGACCAGAGTGGCCATCTGATTCTCCTGGGAACTCAGGACCCTGAGATGCCAGTCTCTGCTGATTAGCCAAACTGAGACACTCTGCCCTCGCTTGTAGAGAGGTGGCCAGATCCAGCCTGGCTGCAGGGACAGTCGGCCAGAATGTGAAGGGAGCAGATGCATGGAAAAGGTGAAGGGAGAGCCTGTGTCTGAAAGAAAAGGAGAGTGATGGGCCTGGCTCCCACCCCCGGCTCTGCAGTAGTGAGAGAGACTTTCCAAAAGACCTTGACCAGGGCTACTTCAGTAACACCAAAT